GAGAAGAAGAGCTTCAGACCTCCTCCTCCTCCTCCTCCTCTTCCTCCTCCTCCTGCATCTCTACATGGAGGATTCTACCGAACATACTCACCGTCTGAGAGCACCTGGATCCCTTTCTTCTGCTGGTTGTTGTTGCTAGGGGCGGAGCTCTTGTCGCCGGGGAACTTTGGGCCATCCGAGTTGGAGGCGGGCTTTCCCGACGAGTTCAGATTCTGATTGGACAAAAACGGAGGGAAAAAACAATCCGAAAAAATGGGACGAGTCAGGACGTGAGAGCGCTGCATAAGTGAGGAAAAAGGACACCGTGATGAAAAACAAAAAACAAAAAACAGCAGGTCAGCATGTTTTAATTCATCGTGACATCAGAGAACAATGAGAAAATACAACAAAGGACATTTATATTTTTACAATAAAGGTCTAACCGTTTTGCTGTCTTCGTTGGTGCTCGTGGGGTCTTTTGATTGGTAGTTCGGACCCGGGAGAGCCGGGAAATCCTCGTTGTGGATCGAGAAGTCCTGAGACTGCTCATTGGACGGCTTGGTTACCATGCCAACTGGGAAACAAAATGGCGGCGGGGAGAGATGAGTCAGCGACACAAACAACAAAAAAATACATTTTGAATTTTTATTGAGCTTGAAATTATTTTCAGCATTAACTGATTATGTATTTGGTCAAAATAATAACATTAAAATATTATAATACACAAACGGTCTCAGTGTTCACACACACACACACAGTCTCTCTTACCGTACGGGGCCCGACCGGCCAGCGGGTTGAGCAGCGGTGTGGGATTCGAACCTCCGTCCCTCCGACTCCTGTCCGCCAACGCCGGGAAGTCCGACAGGTCCAACCCCGTCACATTCTCACTGCCGTCTGGACGAACACAGAGAAGTAAACTCACAACCTGTTGGAGCTCTAACAGCCTCTCCTCTCCTCCCCCCTCTCTCATTACATTACATTACAGTCATTTAGCAGACGCTTTTATCCAAAGCGACTTACAATTCAGATTCTATCACATACACCGTAGGCACAGCTACAGGAGACATTTTTGGGGTTAAGTGTCTTGCTCAAGGACACATCGACATGCGACTAGCAGAGCCGGAGCCGGGGATTGAACCACCGACTCTCTGATTGAAAGACGGCCCTCCTCCTCCTCTCCATCACAGTTTTAAGCTCCGTTTTGGCTGCTGTTTTCTGACAGAAGCGTTAATTGCACATGATGTGTTTAAAGACCGTCGGAAAGATGAAAATCTGAAGATAATGACGTTTTTTTACAGCTTCTGGCTGATGAACGGTGTAGTTCTGGTGATTGTTTATAGAACATGCAGTCTAACACTTAAACTTATCTATGAAAATCATCTCTTAAATGATTAGAAATCATGACAAATGTATCATAAATGAATGAAACACACCTGCAGATGTCGGCAAAACAAGCTAACGAGCACGTCAACTTTTAGCAGCTGAACTAAACAAATCAACATTATTCAACCGTTTAGAAGAAGTGAATCCACTGCTGCAGCTACAGCAGCTTTAAAAGGTTAAAGTGCGTTCTTGTACCTGTGCCGTTGAAGATGTTGTTGGATAAGGAGTTGTTCATGTTGTAGCCTGGATTCCTGTTCACACCAAACCCTGACATACTGAGACACACACACACACACACACACAAACACACACACACACGCTGATTATTCTCACAACTGTGATCCGAAAACAACAGAAGTGAAAGTAAAACAGACGCTAAACATGTCACAGTTTAGACGATGAAGGATGTTTTTATGGAGAATAGAACGAGTTTATAGACAATAATTCATATTGAACCATTTTTAAATCAGTCTGCAGCTACATACAAATAATAACAATAAGCACTAAAGCATGAAGGACGTCCCGCTGTGACGTTACCTGTTGATGGTGAAAGGCTGCCGTGCTTGCTGCTGTTTGGGCATCCCGATGATGCTGGGTGACGACCGGTTGGGGCTCCCCATGCTGCTCCTCCCACCTCCTCCCCCCCTCTCCACTCCCACCCCCCCCATCACTCCCCCCGTCTGCCCCGTCGGCCCCCCCACCTGCTGGCTGTGGTTCAGCACGGTCCGGGTGCTCATTGGTAGAATCCCCCTAAAGACAGCGGGGGGGCAGGAAGTTCAGATGGAGAAAAACATTTATGAGACTCTATGAAGAGGTTTATAACAATAAGAGACAGTTCATTCTTCCTAAACACAGTGTGTGTGTGTGTGTGTGTGTGTGTGTGTGTGTGTGTGCGTGTACCTGCTCGGTGAGGGAGGCGTGTGCATCGTTCCAGTGTTGGCTGTACTGGCATGACTGGGGAGCTGGTTGGTAGATTGGTTCAAACCACTTCTACTTAACTGAGGCGCTGCACTGCTGTTCATACCTCGCATAGGAAACCCCAAAGCACCTAGAGAGAGGGGGGGGGGGGGGGGGCACACGCCTCCCTCACCGAACAGATACACACACACACACACACACACACACACACACACACACA